CATATATATTTGATAAAATTGAAATTAACCGATCTCTTGACACTGTTTGGGAAACTAAGAGAACTTCTAAATTATTGCTAGTAGACCAATAATGCCTCCATGATGGTAATTTATGATATCCCATAAACTAACATAGCACTGGAATATACCAAACTATATTTCTAATAAACTACTAAAAGTGAAAGCTAAAAAATCTTCTCTTCTTAGATTCAGTATCTTACCTCATTTTACCACATTTTCCATATTTGCTCCTACGACAAATATGAGCGTGTCTCCTGAAATTCTAGACGATTTTTCTACATTAGCCCTAGGTTGGTGCATTCTCTTGGTTTCAAAAGAATATACTCTATGTTTAATGTTAAAAATCACGTAAATCAACCCTCTACTCTACGATAAACCTGAATGTGTCGATAAGCAAGAAGTATTCTCGAAGACTAGTCATCTGCAAGCAGTATCTAGTCATCCGTTAGCAGTATCTGGTCTTCTGCAAAGTGTATTCAGCCTTCTGTCGGCAGTGTCTAGTCTTATAATAGCAGAATCTAGTCTTTGATGGATATGGTCTTGTCTTTTATCTTAATATCTAGTTTTCTGTTAAATTTATTAAATGTTATTACTATATGTATAAATAGACATTGTATTTTCATAAAAACATTTAGACAGTTGTTATTAGATAATAATAATAAAAAAAAGCAAAATAATAATAACACAGAATTCCACAAAAAATAAACGCGTCGTATTTTATTAATATTTAAATTAATAAATAAAAAATTACGCCGCTACAAAACTGGTGACCCCAACTATTGAAATATACTAAAGAAGGAAAGCTCGACTATACTCAAAATCACAAAAAAATAAAAACGTGAAGTTTTTTGTTATCGAATATGTTTTTATTAATGAATAAACTATTATTTATTATATAAAAACATAACTAGGTAAATGTAAAAAGTTATCGATTATGACATAAAACTAAACTATCGATTATTGATTTTAAAAAAATCAGTACTGTTTTTTTGCTTTAATTTTGAAGCCATTTTAATGGCACACTCAGTGGAAATTGTTTCCAAACAATTTTCAAATTGCTCACTTACATTCATAGTTGCTGAGAATCTAGCTAAAACTCGTAAAGCGGCATTAACTTTTTCTCTGGTGGGCTGGGAATGATAATTACCTTCATCACTATCTACAGATGACAAGGATGTAGTTGCAGGAACAGGAATGTCGTTATCGCTATCTTCAAAAGTGCTCAGGACTGGCTCTGGACAAATGGCCAAATCGTTATCGGCATTAACGAAATCTTCAAATGAAATTTCAAGTGGCTGTATCTCTTGTAAAACAGTCCATTCTCTGGGTGCTGGTGGTAACAAATCTAAATTTTCTTCATCTGTTAAATCAGTGTTCGGCCATGCTTTATTAAAACAACGTTTAATTGTTTGTTGATTAACTGCATTCCAAGACGAACCTATTGCTTTAATAGCTTGTAGCAAATCCCATTTAACATTTCCATTGTTTTCAATAGCAAAAA